TGCCATCAGTGCAGAATTATTCAATGTCAATTCTGTGATCAGAATAATAATGAATATTCATAGTTTACCTTTTTAAAATGTTTACCAACTCTACCTTAAAAACATAACCACAAAACAAAAAGTTAAAAAAAGAAGTGTTTGCCAAATAAAAGGAGAAAAAACTGGCAGTATTCTCCATTTTATGCTTTTTTTCTATAGTTCTTTTTAAAGACTATTATTTTGGAACAGTTTTAGGTTCAAGGCAAGATTGAAAGCAAGATACAGAGGTTTCCCCTGTACCCCCTGACTCTTCCTGCCCCTGCACACGCACAGCCTCCCCTACCAACATCCCCTGTCAGAGTGGTACATTCCTTAAAATTAATGAACCCTCATTGCCGCTTCATAACCCCCCAAAGACCATAGTGTTCCTTAGGCGCTGTACCTTCTGTGGATTTGGACAAATGTCTATTGACATGGTTGGTCAGTACACTAGTACACAGAGTGTTTTCACTGCCCTAAAACCTGTACTGCACCCGCTCATCCACTGGTAAAAAGATCCGCGGATCCAAAGATCAGTGCAGTACAAAAGGTTGAAAGATCAGTGGATCTTTTTACCATCTTCACTGTTCCGCCTTTTTCAGGTCAGACAGTTGGAATCATCATATAGCTTTTTCAGACTGGCTATTTCTAAGTTTTAGCAATTACAAATAAAACTGGTATAAACATCTGTGCACAGGTTTTTGTGTATACACGAGTTTTCAGCTTCTTTGGATGATAAACACCAGGAAGGTTGACGGCTGGATCCTGCGGCAAGAGTACGTTTAGTTAAGTAAGAAACTACCAGACTGCCTTCCACTGTGGCTGTACCATTTTGCATTCCCACCAGTGGGGAATGAGAGTTCCTGTGGCTCCCCCACTCTCCAGCATTGGATGTTGTCAGTGATCTGGGTTTTAGCCATTCTTATAAGTATGTAGTTGTAGCTCGATGCTATTTCAATTTCCGTTTTCCTGATGACATGTAATGTGGAGTGTCTTTTCACATGCGTATTTGCCATCTGTACATCTTCTTTGGTGTCTATTAAGGTCTTGGCACAATTTTTAGGTGAGTTGTTTATTTTCCTGTTGTTGAGTTTTAAGAGCTCTTTGTGTACTTCAGATAGCAGTCCTTCATCAAATATGTCTTTTACAAATATTTTTCTTTCAGTCTGTGGCTTCTCTTTTTATTCTCTCTTTTTTTAATTAAAAAAATATCCTAGTGCTTGTATTTCTGCATCCCACAAAATAGAAATCTTAACTAGAAAAAATATGAGGAGCTAAGTAAAAAAATTCGTGAAATAAAAAGTACACTGGATTATGAATTAAAAGACATATTTATGTGATCTTAGGGAAACCATTAAAGTTCTCTCATCCTCTACTTCCGTGGATGGAGATGGGACCATCAATATTTGTTCTGCGTCCTGGTAACTTTACTGTGAGGATCAAATATGATGAGGGCAAATATGCTCTATCAATGTAAACTCTCAGAAATTATGATTTCATTAGTACATATTTTTTAAAAAATCAGGTACAAAGGAAATTTTATGGAAAGTGATGCAGACCAACAGAAACACTTCATTCTCTGTCAGGAGTGAGAGACTGCATTAAAGCTAGGTTTTCTTCAACTGTTGTCTTTTAATTACTTTCTAGGGCTAAACATTTGAGTTTATGCTAAAGAATGGCCTCTTTTATCAGCTAAAGTAGAACTGAAGACCACTTGAGAGAGAATCGGCTGCAGCACTGACAGAAATATAACAGGAAGGAAGCAGTTGCTAAACTAACTTTCCTCTTGTTCCTAGAAAATAGTCACAACAGGGCAGAAGCAATTACTTGGTGTATTATTCAGAGCATAAATTATGTCCTCCAAAATATAATTAGCCCTTGTATCTGTAACAGATAGCTACATTTTCTGGTTATGTATCTATCAGATTTTCATTTTAATAGTGATGATTCATAATGAAATTACACATAGCTCCATTCATTAAACCATTCCACACAGTCTGTGCATGGAAGCTGCAAATTCTGTGTGCCTGTGATTGCTTCGCTGTCACCCAGGCTCCAGTTTTCAACCTCATGTTTGTTAACACATACAAATTCTTTCCAGAACAAGTTTTCTAATATGCGTTCAGAGAGCAGATGCTATTGAAATGTTACCAAGTTACAGATGCACAGCGCATTCTTGCTGAATGTGTTTGACAATATAGCTCTGAAATATCACAGCAGTCCTTGCCTTCTGCAGGCCCAAACTTCATTCCTCGGGGAGCCATCCAGGAAAGCAATGCTAAAAGTTACTAAATCCAATCCTCAGATCAGCTGCTTTCAAAACAGTACAACAAGATTTTAACAAATTCAGTGTAGGTTTCTCTCTTGTTGAAGGTGTGAGCTCCAAAGACACTTTATTGTCTGAAACTTCCTAACAGAGGGAGAGCTAAAGCACCAGTTGCTGGAATGTGATAAGGAAGCAAAACAACCAGAAAGAAATTCTATCCCAGGTGCCACAACAGGAGAATTTTCCCTCCCCCTCCGCTGTTGTCTATTCACACCTCCTCTTCCTCCTTTTCTTTCTTTTCCTCTCTTCTTTCCTCGCGGCCTCCTCTCTAATCTTCATCTTCCTCATCCTTCCTGCTCAGTAATAGCCGACATTTGGGGGTACTTCTTTTCACAGGTGGAGAGCTTCACTCCTACCTCATCATGTGCCTCTCACATATGACTGCGCCCTTACAGCAGCCACTGTTTTCTTTTCACTTTAATACATGAAGCTCAAACAGCATAACGGAACTGAGTTGGAAAATCAGGCTGCCTTGTTCCAAAGCTTGTGTGCCCTCTTCTGACATCAGTCCATCTCAAGAGACCATTCCCTCCCTCCCTCCTAAATCTCTTTTCTCTTTTCGTCCTCTTTCCCATCCTTCCTCATTTCCTGCTCTTCCTCCATTACTCAACAAACCATCTCCAGGTCCCCATTTGAACATGGCCCCTTTTGGGAGCTGCCTTTATTCTCAGAGGGGTCCAAGCCACCCCCTTTCTGCGCTCCACCAGGAACAGAAGCTCCCTAAAACATCACTAGCCATCCCTGCCCAAGTCCCACTGTGTAACTTCATCTCAGGATCAACATAGTCATTTGTCTCTTCAATTATTAGCAGCTGTTTTCTGAATTAAGCACAGGTAGAACTGGAGGGAGGTAGCCAACCAGGGGTATTTTCCAACTCCTCTGCTCCCCTCCCTTTCTCTCTCTCCCTCTTTCCAAATCGCATATACAGTGGTGTTTACGTTATAATTTAAGCACTTTCTTACGTTTGAAAAAATATTTGGGATACACAATTTATCTTACTCTCTTATCATTTTTAAAGACTATCTAAATACTCTTCCTCTGAAATAATCACTCTTCCATTAAAAATGTTTCCACGACACACTTGCCAATAAAAACAGGATTTCCATTAAATCCTGAGACATTACTTCCAACAATGTCATTTTGGAATTTTTGTGCTTTCATTTCAGTGGTGTCGATGACTCCAATTACAAACTGTGAAGCTGAGATACTAAAGACAATAATTTTGCATTCCCTGGACTCCTCACAACTGTGAAAATTTTAATTACTCCAGCAAGAAATAGTTTCTCTTGAATGATCATGAGGCTAGTGAAGGTCCTATATGCTTAACAAAGAAAGAATTTTATTTCTATTTGAAGAAGTGCAAATGTGAAAAAAAGTCTTCTCTTTGTCTTATCAATAATAGCCACAGAATTATTTTTTGAAATTCAAGTTGCAGTAAATATTTTCTGGCTTTGGTTGTACTCCAGGGAAACCACTATACAGACACATAACCAGAATGAAATTTGGTTATGTTTTGTAATATAAGGAGAGTTTTCTAGTAAGTTACATTTCATTCCTGAGCAGAAATTGTGGTCAGTCAAGTAACAATGAAAATTTATATACAATCAGAGCGTATTCAGACAGACAACCAAGAGTTTAGGGAAAGAAAGGAGGAGGCATCTTTCTTCCCTTGGGCAGCTGAGAAACGCAGGTCCCGTTCATAACGTGAATGGTCTGATCTAATCACTATAGCATTTCTAGATAACAAAATTCTCCATAATTTAATAGTAATGATTTATAGTTTGTGTATAGTAGTTTTTGTTTGCTTATTTGTTAATCTCTGCTCCTTTTCAATTTTATAGGCCAATGTGGTATATTTTGGTCCATATTACATCTCCTCCTCTCTCTAAAACTCTCTCATGGAGTGGACAGCTCAGTTTCCATGGTAACACTACAAAACTGCTGTTTCTGGAGTAACAGGAGGAGAGAAAGAACAGGGGAAGAAAATAACTAAATCTGGGTAGTTGGAGTAAAACTGTGTTATCCTTAGCTACCAAGAACTTTCTTCTGCTTATGTATCGGGAAGGTCCTTAGGACTTTGTCAGGTAGCATTTCCAGCCAAGTAATACCCTCCTCTCTGGCCAATGGTAAGAAATCCCCTCTTCAACCCTTTAGGATCCTGACTGTGAAGACAGCCACCCATCTCCACCCCTTCCACCAGCTGCTCCTGGGTTGCTCCCATGGTGACAGTAGACAAGGCATTTGGTCCCTTCAGACTGAAACACAGCTTTGTAACTCAGCCTGGAAGAAGGACTTAGGCGATCCTCCTCCCATCCAGTCCATTTTATATATAATGGGAAATTGTATGTACATCTATACCCTAAGTCACACCTCGCTACTGATGAGAATTTTTCCTATTTGGATTGACTTTCTTCCCTAACCCTAGAGAACATTTGTTTTTGTTCTCTAAGAAGAGCAGAATTCCCTTGCTGGGAGTGAGAGAATTGTTCAGGGAATCCTGGAGTGTTTATTTCCAAGTTCACTTTCCAGGGAGAAATACCTATTTGCAAAAGGAGTTCTTTCACCTGTGGTGGAAGAGGATTTGGAAATCCGATCCAGTGCGGGGGGGGGGGTCCCCGAAGAGAGTCTGTGAGCCCTCTCTCCCTTTTTAGCAGGAGAATTCGAAAGCAGTGCGAAGCGATGTCGGACCTATCACAGCATTGCTAACAGACAGCCTATTACAGTATTTAATAAAAACAGAAACAGCATGCCTGTCATAGGCTAATCGATCCTGCCTCCTGCACGCTTTAAAAACAGTATGAAGCAGGCTTCTCGGAGCTTCAGAGAACTAATTTCGAGCCTGGCTGTCTAGCGTGCCGTCACTCCTATTGTCCTTCCAAACTCTTTCAGACATTTTGAGCAGGGAGTATTAAAGCTATGAGTTAAACAGGGCTGTGACATTAATGGTCCACAAAGGCTTTGGGCACGAGAGGTAACGATGATTACCGGTGGCTCTTTGGAGGACTGCGCTGGATCGCTGTCATGAAACATTAAGCGTGGCTTTTGAGGAAGATGTGACAACTGCCGGAGGTAGGATTTGCATGGAAAACAAAGGAATCTGTTGCTGTTTCCGCCGCTGCGCTTTTTGTTTGCCCGGTGCGGTGGAGATGGGAATCGAGGCAGGTGCGGAGCGAGAGGCAGGAAGGGGAGAGGGGAGTGGGAGCCCGGCTGCGGGGAGCGGGGAGCGGGGAGCGGGAGCGGAGCCCGGCGCCGTATTGTTTTATGGCAGAAATGCCTCGAGGACAAACTGGCTCCAGGCTCCCAGCCTGCTGAGTGAGCAGTCCCCGTGCTTCTCCCGGGGAGTGGAAGGCTTAGAGGTCACCAAGAGAACAGTCCGCTTCTTATCTGTGGTGCCAGCCGGGCTGCTGGTGGGGCTGAGCGAAGACTTTGGTGGGTGGGAGGCACAAAGGTCCAAGAAAAATAAAGAAGAGGAAGCCGTCCTTAAGGCTGGAAACCTGCTAGATAAATATTTTATTTCTACAGTCAATGTGTTCTGATGGCCAGAGGCTAATTTTTATAAGGGGAAATTGAAAGATCACAGCAGCTTTCCCTGACAAAGAACTATTTCAGATTTAATTTATTTTAAAAGAAAATTGGGCGTCTTCGTCCATTTTGCATACTGAGAGGCTGACCCGCACTGTGGGTATTAATGGTTTCGCTAAAGCGGAGCAAGAGTTTTTTAAACTGAAAGAAGGGGCTTCCTCTCTGATCCTGTTCTCGCTTTTGAACAACTGCCCGGGCTGCAGATGGAAATGGTGATTCGTGAGCGGTGATAGACTTGACATTTTGCCTTCTTTTTTTTTTTAATGAACAGCTTAAAAGCACAATTCTCCTTGAAAAATGAGAGGGGCAGCTGGGTTCCAAAGTCCACTGAGTAAATTTGCGGAGGAACTTAACACTGCTTTTACGGGATTGGTATAGCTCAATCAGAGAAGGAAATATCAGGGAATCACAGGCTGAGATTTTTAAAGCAAAAGTGTGATGGTGAGAAGCCAGTGTCTCCCCAACTCGGGCTGGGGTGAGAGTTCCAGTCTTTGTCATTGCCTGTGACCCTCAGTGGGGAGTGGCAGGGATGGACTGAGTCAGTTTCTCAGGGCTGTGAAATTATTTCCCCAACGCGCTTCCCAAACTCCAGGATGTCAAGATGCTGCTTTACATTGTGAAAACCTCTACGTTCTGAGCATTCATTTGCTTATAATGAACGGCAAAGATCATGAAATAATTAGATATTTATAAAAGTATGTCATATTTTTCAAGTGTATCTAAAACTTCCTTATTAATCCAGCATAACCTAGAAATAAAAGTGAAAGACAATTATTGTATGTTCTTTTTCAGCTAAATACTGGAATTAAGGCTGAGTGGGGTTTTTGCTCTTCTCCAATGCAGTAGACTTTGTGCATTTGAGAGCGAGCATCTGTGTATGTACTGCCGTTCTCATACCAAGTTGAGACCCTTGACCCATAGGAGGTGGCATCGGTGTTAAAGTTGAGTATTTGTTTTTTCTAACAGTGAGATGGATATTACTGAAGCAGCCGAACTCTCAGCTGGTCTTTACGTGCCTAGATCACATCTCTATGAAATGACTCTGTGGAATTCCTGGTGCATTTGATGACTATGACATAGGTTTCTGTTTCTATAAGATCAGTGGAATGTGTGACCTTGACCTTGTAAAGTCCCATTCTCTAGCCAGTTGAGCTCAGCAGTCAAGAATCTGTACATGCATAGAAATCAGGAGCTCTAAGTACACAATCAAAAATGCACACATACATTTTATTTAACTGTTGCCAGAAGTTTACAACTAGGTATTATTTTTATTGTTTTTATTAATTTCATTAATTTTAAAAGGACGTTCACTGCCCCTCACTAATATCTGCTGAGCCTCATAACATCAAGTGTTGACTTCAGAGGCAATTCTTGCCGTGACAGTTGTCAACAGGAGAAATTATTTTGCTGTAGTCATGTTCATACCGTAAACTAAAATGATTTTTCACAATTTCCACAGATTTATGAGGAGTTCTGATATTAATTCTTGATGTTTTATGTTTCCAGACTGTACACCACAACATGAACAATACAGGGAAAATATGATAGGTGTTTGTTTCTTTGTAAGCTGTGGGGCAAGACAAACCTAGGAAATCAGTCAAAACCATCTACTTGGTATCACAAATTAATTTCCTTGCTTGTTTACATTGGTAGAGATCAGCCCAAACATTTCCAGTTATTCTTCTCTTTCAGTTCTGCTGCATTTAGTGAAGAAAAACAAACAGTTTTGCAACTGCACTGACAGCAGGTCTGGAATCCACCCTGATGTAAAAAACAAGCAAAGCTTAGTCAGTCTTGTTCTCCCAGTCCCGTCGGTGGGTGCAGCCGTCGCATCAGTCCCGGCACATTTAGGATCCAGAATGGTCCTTATCCTCCGTCTCTCCTGAGTACACACGCAGTCATCCTGCTGCCCTTGTGGCAGGTAGTGGGCCAGGCATGTCTCAAGCTAACACAATCTTTTCTTTGATTATCTCCCTCCTCTCATCAAAATGTGGTGAAAAATACGTCTTCCAAAAATATTCCTCTGTTATGTTAAGTAAAAAACAGGCCAGAATAACATACAGTACCACCTATCCTGATTTTGTTAAGTCACAGATGTATATGAAAAAACTAGAAAAAGTGCACACAAAAAGTTAACGGCATTACAGTGTGGTGTCACCAGTGCATTTTGTTCCCTTTATTCATCTACATGACTGCTAAATATTTTCCAGAGAGCATGTATCCATAGTCATTTCATGACTCACATGGTGAAAGTTGACCTATGCCTCCCCTTCCGACCACATCGCCACCGTTCCCCTTATTTTACTTTATATCCTGCACTGTGGCTTCACCCCAATTCCAAAGTCACTTGCTTGTCTAAGCAGGACTGAAAAAAAGGTGCCCACTGGGTGCCCCTATTTCCTTGGGTTTCTCTATACTTCCTGAAAAACTTCATCTTTTTCTCAGAAACTAACTACTCCTTTTTAACTCTGGTTCCTGAGGAAAGGAGATTTTGTGTATGTGTAATTTCTCTTTATTTTATAAACTGAGACTTTTCACTTTCCTTTGTTGGTTCCTATTATCTTCTAATTGTTTGTATTGGAGTGTTCCAAGGCTCAACTATAAATCTCTTCTTTATCTACACCTAGTTCCTAAATGAGTCCAATCCAGTCTCAAGACCTTGGACAGTGTCCACACACAGGCAGTTCACAGATGAACGTTCCCTCCAACCTCCACACTCACCCCCAACGACCTACATGCCATGTCCGTGCCACTGTCTCCCTGGCAAATTTCTGAATTTCCACATAAAATGTCCCCCTCCCATATTTTTCTCCATGTATATAAATGGAAATGCTTTCATTCCCTTTCTTGGAAGAAAAATCCTGGGATTCTCCTTGACCTCCACCTCCCTTCACACACTGCAGAAAGTCCTAGTGCCTCCACCTTCAAACTATATCTAGAATGAAGTTATTTCTTATTATTTCTGCTCCTACCTCTCTGGCCAAGTCATCAGCTCTCAGATTATGGTGTTTTGTTGTTGTTGTTTTGTTGTTTTTTTTCCCCACAGTGTGTCTCTTGCGTCTGCTGTTTCCTGCTCACACATGCACATTCTGTTCTGTACCCAACACTGGTGGTCATTTTTATACTGAAGTTAAATCAATGCTGTCCCATCTGACTGCAGATGAAAGTCAAAGCCTGACGGTGGCCCCAGGCCCTTTCACTACAGCCATGCTGGCCTCTCAGGCTGACCTCAACCTGGCCCACAACAATCCAATTTCAAGGCCTTGAACTTTGCTGTGCCTGCTACTAAAAATGTCTTCTCCTAGACAGCCACTCTACTCAGTTCCTCACTTTTTTTTTTTTTTGAGACAAAGTATCACCTTGTCACCCTGGGTAGAATTCCATGGTGTCATCATAGCTCACAGCAACTTCAAACTCTTGGGCTCAGGTGATCTAACTGCCTTGGCTTCAGAGTGCTGGAATTACAGATGTGAGCATTGCATCCAGCCTGGTCTGGTCCTCATTTGTTCTTTTTCTTTTCTTTTTTTTTGAGGCAGAGTCTCACTATGTTACCCTGGGTAGAGTGCCATGGCATCAGAACTCACAGCAACCTCAAATTCTTGGGCTTAAGTGATTCTCTTGCCTCAGCCTTCCTAGTAGCTGGGACTACAGGTGCCCGCCACAACACCCAGCTATTTTTGTTTCCCTTTGGTCACAGTTGTCATTATTGTTTAGCAGGCCTGGGTCGGGCTCAAACCTGCCAGCCTCGGTGTATGTGGTCAGCATCCTACTCACTGAGCTCCACTGTGACAAATGTCTTCATGATGAAATGATTTTTTTTCTTCTGAGTTAGTAATGGTTAGTAATGGGATTTGGGGATCAAATGGGAGATCTAATTTGAGTTCTTTGAGGAATCTCCCTACTTCTTTCCGAAGAGCTTGTGTTAGTTTGCAATTCCACCAAAAGTATAGAAGTATTCCCTTCTCTCCACATCCACGCCAGCAGCTGCAGTTTTGGAACTTTGTGATGTGAGCTAATCTTACAGGGGTTAAATGATATCTCAAAGTGGTTTTGATTTGCATTTCTTTGATGATTAGGGACAATGAGCAGTTTTTCATATGTTTGTTAGCCATAGAATGTAAACTCTACCGAAACAGGGATTCTGCTTTGTTTTCAGATGCATCCATAGCACTTAGAATAGGGTCTCTCGTGTAAGAGGCATGTGATCCACAATCATAGACAAATGAACATGCTGTGCCATGTGGGGACTGGATGTGTCCCCACCAAAACCCATTAGCAGAGTCAGATCCCGAGTGCAGGTTTTCAACCCCAGGTTTAGATCTGTGTCATAACAGCCTATTGCTTCACCCAAAGAGAAAAATACTGAACCCCTTCAAGAAAGTTAAGGAGATTTATCAAGATGATTTTCTCTTTTCCCTGCACAAGAGGGGAAAAATCACATCACTGATTCCAATCTATGGCGAAGCAAATAAAAATTCAATTTGCCT